CTGTAACACCTCAGTGTCTGTGGATTCCATCACAACCACTGTCTCTCTCCTCTACCTAGTTACTGCAGGTTGAGGGTCCACGCCTATTATAAAATGACTCTGTGGTTGTTGCTTATGTGCTTCTTCCAATTGGATGAGGGATGAGCGAGTAGGTTACCCATTTTATAATGATCGCCTCCACAGCGCTTGACACAGTGCTCTGTACGTAGCAGGGACAAGATCATCATCTGCTGAAAGAGTAGCAAGATTTTGAAAGAAAAATTTCCTTTGCACAAGTGGAAGATGTTTTGTCGATGATCACTTTGCTCCTGTCGTGTACCTGGGGTAAATGGACTCTTGGTCGCAATAAGCAGGTGATGGTGTGGGTTTGAGGACGCTGATGAGTGTTTCTAGTGTAAGGTGTATCTTGAGAGCGGATTTCACCTTTCTCGTGACTTCAGCTTAACCTACACAGTTCAGTTAACCATGGTTTCTTGCAGAGCACAACACTGTTGGGCTGCCTCTATGAGGACCTGTCATCTGTTTTGTAATGCCAGTGCGTGTTATTCTGGTGTCTGTTAGAACTTAGAAGTTTTTGTTTTGTTATTTTACAAAATCTATGAAACATTTATTAAACAAAATTGTGACATTGTTGGTTCTCAAAAAAAAATCACATATGTATATACATATATAATCCATTTCTCTAACCTTTCCCCAAGGAATTTGGTTGCTCTGATTTATACCATATCTGAACACCTGTTTTTGCATCATCTGTGGGCTTCAAATTGAATTTCTTTACTCTCCTTTTTTAAGAAAAATCATTTTATTGGGAGCTCTTGCAGGCTTTACAAAAATCCATGATTCAATTATATCAAGCAATTGCTGCCACCATCATGTTCAAAATATTTTCTTTCTTCTTGAAGACTCTGCTTTCAGTGCCCCTTTATCCCCTCTCACCCCCAACAACCTACCCCCCAGGGACCCATATTATTATGTTATTTATTTATTTTTACTGTCATATCTTACCCCATCTATTAACATATCTTACACCATGTATCTCTTCACCTACAGTTCTGTTATTCATCCCCACCGAGTGGAGCTATACTGTCGTCATTGCTTTCATTTCTGATTTTCAACTTAAAAAAAAATCAAAGCATGGATATTTCCAAATCTGGTGTAAAGGGGCGGGCTTTCTGACCGTGGCAGGCCTTTTAATTTTAGACCATGGAGGACAATAAGAAGAACCAAGTCGCTGGTTCTACTGATGCACAGAGAGAATTTACAAAATAAGTGGTTTCGTTACAAAGGAAAATCTGAATGGAATATTTAAGTAGTAGATATGTAAAGTTAAAAACTAAGCATTAGTGCCAGTACTATTTTATTTGCTGAAATGTGTAAAACACTTGTCAAAGTATCAAATAAATATTTCATTTCTCCTTTCATTGTCACAGGACCAGCAAGAGAAGGGGCACCAATCCAAAACTGTCTTCTTACCGTGATTATTTGATGACTGAATCATACACTCCAATTTAGGTAGACTAATGACATGACAGTGGTGTTTACCCCCAGGTTCAAATGAGTGTGTATTGATAACCATTTCCTTGTTTTTAAGCATGTCTTCCCTGTGGTTAACCCCCCAATTATGCCTGCACCACTGTATGCAGCTGTGTGTTTTCAAAGTGGCTCATGTTTTGATTGGTTTGTTTTAAAGAAATAGGAAATTAAAACGGATTGTTCCATCAACTGTATCCTCGAATAAACATGGCACATTTTTTGAAATTTCTGTGTCATTTTCCCCAAGACTCAGTGAAATACTTTTCCATTTGCTTCTATGGCCTGATAGCCCAAATAAATGAAGTTTTCTCTTCAGGAAGGCTTCAAATGGATCTGCTGCTCATATATCTGTTAGCAAATATGATATGAATGTAGTCAACGTTGGCACTCTTTTTACCTTGCCTCACATTTTAGGGATTGCACGTAAACACTCTCATTGGTGGAAGCTGGTTGTAAGCAGTATACCCTTTCTAGTTTAGGTTTTAGGAGTAGTTTGTTCAGATGGGTGTTTTTATCACTGTGGCACTTAGTGACTTCCCACAATGGAGGAGCGCCTTTAGCCTACCCACCGCCACCCATTTCCATCATTGTCTGACTTAGCAATCCCAGAGGCCAGAGTAGAACTGGAAACTAGGGTTTCCAAAATAGTAAATCCTTGCAGAAGCCAACTCCCTCATGTCCCTAGGTCATAGCAAGTCATGGGTTCGAATCACAGACTGATTGGCTGGCAAGCACTCTAGGCACTCTGCCACTCAGAAAACACAAATGCAGTGCCTTCAAGGCAATTCAGACTTACAGTGACCATCGAGGACAGAGTAGAACTGTCTTCATGGATTCCTCAGGCAGTCCATCTTTACAGGAATAGAAAGCGTCATCTACCTTTACATAAATAGGTGTAGACCCACCTCAGACCAGAAGCCAACACCTAGGTTGGTGAGGAAACTGACTAGACACTTTGCTACTGATGTTAGAACTGACTAGACACTTTGCTACTGATGTTAGAACCAGGATCTGGATGGCCCAGTATGAACTAGTACTGTGGAAGAAACAACAAACAAATGAGAGATAAATAATTGTTAAAATAAAAATAAGAAGCCCTTTCAAATGAACACAGAGATATACATATGGTTAAAGAAAACTGACTTATAGAAGGCAAAATCTCATGTACAATGACACTTGGAAGATGTAATATGATATCCCATTAACAACAGCAAAAATAGGGTCCCTTGGCTAATAGGCAAACATAGTGTGTTCTTGGATGTGAAAGGTCAATATCATAGTTCTGCATAAGTAAATTTATAAATTTAAAAGGATCATCATAAAATAACCTTGAGATTTCCCCCACCCACCCCCAAACACCTCTCCCAGGGTTAGATAAGTGTATCATTGCTACTACTTAGGGGAAAACATTTCTGTAAAATTCCAATTAGGGGAAACACTAGAAAACCAATCCATGAAACAAAGAACAATAAAGTCAGCGCCTCCTCCATGAGGGAGATTAAGTTTGTAGCACGATGCCAACCCATCATTCTTCTCATTCTGGTTATTGTCCTGGCTCGCCCAAATTTTACAAATTGCACTTCACGTGCCTCTCGGTGCACATGAGACGTTTTCCAGGGTAAATACCTGGAAATCATATTGTCCTTTTTCAGTACCTGCGCATAGAAAATTGATGTAGAGTAACTTGAAAACTCAGAAAACTGAGGGGTCAGCGAGCTTATGCTAATGGGGGAGGCACAACTCAAGAAAGGAGGGCGATAATGGCTGCACATCGCAGAGTGTCATGAAGGTCACTGAAGTGTACAGGAAGAAACTTGAATTCAAAATAAAATTCATGTAGATACTGCCAAATTAACTTGAAGACTACCCATTTATCTTATCTTCAATCGCATATGGGAATAAATAAATAAATAGATAGATATTTACTCACGGCAAATGATGTTCTCTTAACAATGTTGCTCTTTCACCAAGAAACAAAACCATACCCCAGTTTCTTAGAGGAGTCAGATGGGTAAGCTTTAGTCCTGCCTGAGCTCAGAGATTGGCTCCCAGCCGTTTCTGTCGGTGTAGGGACAGGGAAGAGGGGAAAGGTTTGCTGTAGAGGGTACCAAGAGATGGCTGTGGCCCACTCAGGAAAGCACTATGGGTCCAGCTGAGGCTGAGCTGGGGTACTTCCTATTAGTGGCCAGCATTCCAGCTCCAAGTCCGTACCACAAGGTTTTTATTTTTTCCAACGGTATTTTGACCATTCTTTCAGGATGGAATGTGGGTTCTGTACACACATCCCCTCACCCCCGGGATCTTGTAGACCAAATTGAAGAGTAGAGCCACTGCTCTTACGGAAAAGAGGCAGATGGGGAAAAGGGACTTGGGTGCAGACAGTGCCACACCTGTTCCCTTCTGCCCTTGATGGCTAGAGGTCTTTGGACCTTAAAGACTAAGACTTTACCATTAACTGAAGACCAAGACTTTACCATTAATTGGACCGCTAACTTGGTGGTGTCATCATTGAGCTGTTTTGTGAGGATTTGGGGTCCACACGACTTTATTAAATGCTCCAAGTGGGAGGTTAGGTGACCTGGCTGACCAATCAGCGGTGAAAGGACTGAGTGGGACAGAAGCAACATGTACAAATGGGTCAAACATAAACCGTGGAATTACTTTAAAAATATTTACTCAGTGTCCATTAAAAAAAATCTACTACCATGGAGTCAATGTGACGCATAGTAACTGTGAATGGTCAATTAGAACTACTTCTGAGGCTTTCTAAGACTGTCAATCTTTATGGGAGCAGACACCTCATCCTTCTCCCCCAGAGCAGCTAATGGGTTTCAACCACTGACTTTACCGGTCAGCAACCCATCACTTAGCCCACTGCACCTCCAGGGCTCCTTCCCAATCGTATGCAGTATTAACAATTTAGAAAATTAGCCAAACTGATAAATTATGTTTGATATTGACTCTAATTTTCCTAATTAATAATTTGCGCATCATTCCAGATATTTATTGCCTACAGTATCCTTCTGTAAAATGTCTTAAATTGTTGCCTGGTTTTCTTTTGGCTTATATGTCTCTGACCTATTGGTCATTAGCAGCTCTATATTAGATATTCATCTTTCTGTGTTGCCTATGTTTTACACCTTTTCTCTCAGTCAGCCACTTGTGTTTTACTCTTGTTTAGGGTAACTTTCCCTGAATAGTTCTTGCATGGTCAATTCTGTTACTCTTGTATGCTTCTGGATTTTCTGTCTTGCTTATGAAGGCCTAAAGGAAAAACTTCAACATTATGGTGGTGGGGCGTGGGGTGGGGAGTCTCCTTTCAAGTGTTCAATTTTGTTGTTTTGAGACCAAGATATTTAATTCATAGGAATTACATTTTTAAATTATTTAACCGTGTTAGAAAATTTGATTTATTATATCCATAGCGCTTGTAAACACCTGCATTGCTTTCTTGCTCTCTCTTCAGTGCCATTGATGTGTCTTCTAGTACCATGTCAGAACTAGGGGGACCGGGGGTACACTTAGTTGCTAACTTCAGGACAACAGTTAGAACCTCTTTGCTGTTCTGAGTGGTAAAGATGAGGCTGTCTGTTCTGGTGAAGATTTACAACCTTGGAAACTCTCTGCCGACCAGTCCTACACTGCTCTAAACCCAGTGTGATGGGATTTGAATTGGGGGGTTTGGTGTTAGAACTCTTCACTCTTATTCTCCTAGGGCAAGTCCCTCCCCTCATCGTACCATAGGAAGCATATTCCAATGGTTCATACATGTTTAAGTTCCCAGAGAAGTGTTTGAGTCAGCTTGTGAACTTCTGCCACTAAACATTAATTTTGTTTTAATTGGGATTGTGTGGGATTTCTGAATTATTTTTCATTATGTTGCCTTCCTAGTCCCTGAGTTTGAATCACTGTGCATGTGTTTCCATCTTCCCTCTTTCTCCAAATCTTCTCTCAGCCTTGACAAAGGTTTGAAAATTTGATTGCTTTCAAAATAAAACTATTGATGGGAGTAATTAATCATGTTCCTATGGCTCTCTGTTTCATTGAACTCTACTTAATTTATTATAAACCCTCCTACTTTTCCGCATTAGATTGGTTCTTCTTTATACTAGTTTTTAGACAAAAAGGAGAGGTGTGCTAATGTCTGGCAACATGGTGGTAAAACATGTCAACCCCCTCCCCCCCAAAATAAAAAAACCCATACTCACTGCTATTGAGTCAATTCTGAATCCTGTCAAAATACGCTTGATTTTCTACAATTTTTGCTATATACATAATACACACACATATTTATTTGTATAAAAACATACAAATAAACATTCAACTTCAGGCACCAACCACCAAAGCTAATGTGAAGAAATTGAAGAATTTTCCCAATGTCTTCAGTCTGAAATTGATCATACACGCAGTGAAGAAAACTGGAAGTCATCAAAAATGAAATAGTATGCATAATCCCATTTAATCACTGATATATAAAAATGCTGATGTTTCAAAGTTATATTCATATCCGTCATTAGATCTTACTTGGTTTTGCTCTGGTATCAACTTTGTGTAGACAATGCACCCTCTGTTGCCTGTTGGGGGGGGGCAGCCACACCAACTTCCCCACCCTTGGTAGGGCACCAGTCCCATTAATTCACTACCATGGAGTCAATGCTGACTCATTCCACACTCTGTGGGTTTCTGAGATGGTTAACTGTTGATGGCAGTAGAAAGCCCAGTCTTTCTCCCACAGACCTGTTGGTACTTTCGAACTGCTGACCATTGGGATCACAGTCCAACGCTTAACCACTTTACCATGAGGCCTCCACACTACTCTGTCCAGTTCCCCAAATTTCTAATCAAGGAAGTGCCTGCTCTGTGTTTGTAGTCTCCAAACACCACCATCTCATTTGAGGATGACTTCCTGCGGTGGAAAGACCAGAACCTGGTCTTTCTAGACCTTTTATTAAGCCGAGCACAGGACGGGGACCATAAACACCTCTAAGAAACCTGGGTCCTACAGACAATTACTTGAAAAAACTTTTCCATTTTAGGGGATATCCCGGACCCACCACCTCTGTTCCCATCTGCCTCCCTCACTCCATGCAGAAATCCCAAGCACTGTCCCTCCTTGTCTGTGTGATGAAGGTTTCATGATGATATTTGTCCTCTTTGCCAAATCATTCTCAGTGTTTAGGTACACAGTCTGGATCACAGTAGATTTGATGGGTGGACCCCAAAACTATAGGATCCTT